AACTCGACAAGTTCTATTTATGGTGAAAACTGTAATCTGGATATATCCAATCGTTGAGGATATATTATCCTGATATCAGTCTCAATTCCTCCAACAAATATGGAGATTCTGTTTTAACTATTCGCGAAAGCTCATTGAACTGTACTTGGAACATAATGAGTTTTTTTGGAATAGGTTTCTAGACAAATCGGTCACGAAATTTGGGTAGATCGAGGAAATTGATACTAGTAGCAGGAGAATATCTCCTGAAGCGGCGGATGTATCGAGACCCGGTTCTTCGTATTCGATAGAGCTCATCGAGTTCCCTCGAAACACAGAGAGCTTTATTGAAACAGATCCCAGGACAAATCGGTCCAGAAATACTAGTTGAGCGGGATCACTGGGATCAATATCAGTGCAATATTTCGTCAACAATTCAATGAATTGAGATGCCGCTTTCAGCATTAGATAGAGCTAATCCAGTTGCGCTCGGAACAAGATACAGATTTTTGGAACATCCTGTAGTACGAATCAGCTCAGTTAATACTAATGTATTTACTATGAATGTCGCCACAGTCCCGTGGCCAAATATTGTGAGACGAATAGCTTGCTAATGGATGAGGCTTTTCGGATGGGGTTTTTATCATTGGATAGAGCTCGAAAAATGGCACTTCGAACCATAGGAATTTTCTTCGAATTGGGTCCCAGGCGAATCAGTCGAGGAAATACCAGGCAGAAGGGGGTCGTTTATATCGGTTTTGGGGACTTTCTCACAAATGGTCATATGTATCCAGGTGCAATTTTCGTTGTTTGATAGTAGTCATTGAACTGTAATTGAAACATAAAGTGTTTTGTTGGAACAGGTTCTTACGCTAATCGACACCAAAATTACTTTTTCGCTAATTTGTTGCAATGTGAAGAAACAATGATAGTTTTCTTTTTCTCGGTTATTACAACATATATGGAGAATTGGCTTTTATTGTTCTTGGCAGCTAATCGAGTTTTAATTAAAACAACAATAGCTTTGTTGGAATAGTTTCGCGAGCGAATCGGTCCTGAAAATACTCGAATCGGGACCTAAAATATCGTACGTTAGTGAATGTAACTTAGAAAGCTGGAATGGGAGAGCGATGAATCAGTAGGGATCTTGAACTACAGTACCACATAAAAGAAAAAGAGTTCAAAGAAATGAAAAAATAAATCTAATGAAACAATCAAAACATGAAATCAGAAAGAGCTTTATAAATAAAGGAGGCTGGAAGATGATTGGTGAAGTACAAGTTCAAAAGTATAGGGAAAAAATGACGATAAATATATTAAATCTACTTCAAAACATGAAAAAACGTAATGATTAACATTCACACTGTTACAGTGTATTCTTATAACATATACCTCGATCCTCTCTATTCTCTTCGCTTTAGTCATTTCTTTATTTCGTTTGTTACTTCTTTTCTTTGGCCTTGATTAACCTTTGTATTCTTTTTTGTTTTGCCCTTGTTTTCTCATGTGCGTATATAAACACTGTTTTTCTAAAAGAATAAACAGAGAGAGAAGAAAAAACGTCGTTATTGTGTTCGTTGCTCTTCGTGAGTGCGAATCCTAACACACACGAATAGAAAATTCAAGAATAAGTGAGTTGTAACTTAGAGTTTGAACCAGAGAACTGAAACAAAATCTGCTACTAATAAAAAGACCAGTCTTTTTGCTGGAATTACAGTTTCGCATGCCATAGATTTTTTAGTCTACAGAATCTAGGGACTTGTTTTGCAAAAAGTCGTCGAGAATATTTCGTTACTTGAAACGCATCTTTATTTATTGAAATTGAAATCGTTTTATTTTATTATCCGTTTGAAAATAGAAGAGGGATGACTCTTTTTTGGATCACATTTGATGGGAACAAGAGAAGGAACTGCGGTTTTCATCGTTAAAAATGGCAGACTCAAGATCATAAGTACATAAGAGCATCAAGATACTTTAAAGAATGTTCTTCTTATAAGATATTGAGTTTACAATAAAGTAGCTACTTGCTTTGAATAGCTTGCAAAAAATGGGTTCGCTTGAAAATGCATTATATTGAGAGAGGAACATTGTTTTTAGGTAAAATTTTCAGGATACTCCTGTCGGTCACTAGTCATATATAGTGGCAAAATTTCAGCTCTAATTCTTGAAATTTGATTTTTCGAAAATGGGTTAAAATATCAAGTAATTTAGTCGTGTTTTCCACGGAAAAAATAGAAAAAGCTGAACACTTCAGGACTAATACAGAAGACATTAGGTTAGAATCTAAATAAGCTAAAACAATGAACATACCGACCTACAGGAACAAGAAGGATTGAACAATATCCCATAAAAGTAGGAAATTGTTCCTTTTCTACCAGAGATAGTATATTCCACAAAAGGTGAAGTAGAAACGCTTTTGTAGGAGGCAGCATCCTTTACATGAGATTATTCCCAATAGAATAAATCGAATACTCATGACGGAGAAATCCTTCATTCATTTGTATCTTCATAATCAGAAGTCAAAACGGATATATAATGCATGAAAAAAAAGTGATTGGTAGATATATGTTTATATTCTTTCGTTCGATTTCTTTTTGTTAAAGTACTTTTTTCTCACATAAAACATGATAAATATATGTTTTGTATTCTTTTTTTCTTATTCCTGCGTTCTATGTGTGACTTTATGTGGGGTTCATCATAGGTACATAAACGGGAACAATCTTTCCATTGATTAATTCAATTATCCACTGCTGATTAAGAGCCCTCAGTCTGTTCTTTGCAACAGTGAAGACTGCACTTCTCCATGACGTTCTTCTCAAAATTTCTTTAAAAAACGCCGTAACTTTTTTCTTTTTAATATCTATTTTTTATTGTGCCATAAGTAACTGGTTCACAGGTGAGATATAAAAGAGAGAGATAGAACTAACATACGTAAAAAACGCCAAATAATGGGTGTGACACACTACACTACTATATAAAGTAAGAGGTACATTTAGAATAAGAGTAGATAAAAACACCATAAGGTAAAGAAAAGTAGTAACAGAAAATATAATAACAAAAAGTAGTAACAAAGTAGAGTAACGAGAGATTAATAACTATAAAACAATAACAACCAACAGTAATAGTCAGAAGACGAAGAAAAGAAAAGTATACGAAAACAATCCATGTAACAGTTGTATGATTCTGAGGACAGTGACTAGATAACACTATTCATTCAATGTCGGTATCACAAAATGGGTTTAGAGGTTAAATTAATGTATTGCTATATAATTAAGGTTCAATCATTTCATACTCAGATTCATATTATTTATTTATCTTATCATAAATATTAGAAGGCCTAAGGTGGCAAAAGAAAATATTTATATATGAAGGAGTTTATCATATTCGTTGATTTTTTAAAGTATTCGTATTGTTTAACATGAACTACATCAAAATCTACCCATTCAATTAGGCAATGCTTCACTTGATTTATTAATCTATTTGGAAAGATACTATTTTTTTCGAAATCCCATTGACTTGAACCAACTATTATCCGGAGAGGTAATAATAAGAAATCCATTCCAGGTCTGCTGGAAAGAAAGTGCCTCAGGGGAGGTTAGCAGATGTACAACTAAACGACGCCAATATGTAAATAAGTAATCACTTAGTGATTTATCTCTAGCAAGAATTAAAGTTGTTATATCATCCCACTGATATAGATTATATACAATTCGAAGTCCTTGACAAAACATATGTTCAATACGTTCTCTTTGTATATCAGTACAGAAGAACCAAGTGGAAAATAACCATAAGTAATGTGGAAGAGCATATTTCTAATTATCGATTGAAGTGACTACTGTTCGTAAATATATACTATCGGGCTGTTCTATCGTTCAATGATAAAATAAAGACTTCGTTACTTTATGATCAAAATGAATACTATTGTAATATACTTTTGATAGATTTTCTTCATAATATTTGCTTTTGAGAACTAGTCTAATATTGAAATTTTTCTAAAATTGGTTTATACTATTGAACACTACATTTTTAAATTGAGGCATTTTTTATAGATTATGTTGTCAGCAAAAATGTAGTCATTTTTACGTTATTAGTATTATTTGAAGTAGTTTTATTGATTATTGTATTGTACATGATACTTGCGTGCGTATCTTGATGGATTATCTCTAACTTTTGAATAAATAAATTTTAATCGAATCATCAAAATTTTCAAAGTGTGATTCCGTCACAACGTTTTTTTCTGTTTATAAGAACTAGTTATGATATATTTTGAATTACTTTTTTTCTATATATAGCTCGTCATCTTAGCTATAACTTTCTTATAGAAAGGTTTTTGATACCACCTATAGTTGAGCTAAAAATTTTATTTCTTTACATAACACTCAAGCTCAAGGTCCATTTTTGGTGATTCCGTAACGATGCTATATTTCAATTATAAAAGCATTCAGAATAGTATGAAATTTAACGAAACTTTTCTTAAACATAGAGCATTACTACTACTGTTTCTTTCTAACAATATCAGCTTTATTCGACTTACATAAGTTGACATATTCAAGGCACAATCTTAAAAAACGTGATTCCGTCACGAATGGACAGGTCGAAATGTCCTTTGACTAAGAAGTAATAGTCATCAATAGAAAAGACAAAAGTCCGTTGATGATAGAAAAGTGATGCATATGAATAGTAAAGTATCACAATAGTCCGGTAAATAAAAGGAAAAGTCCGCTAAATTAAGCGAAACGTGCGCTAAGAGGTAGGACGTGAATAGATAATATTACTTTTCGTTAAATTTGATAATATTTTGTCCGAGTAATAAAGTCTCTTTATTCTCCAGCGGACTTTTGCTAAAGTGGACATTTTCTGGATCCATGCCAGCCCTCACTATTTTCGACATTGAATCCGATCGAAGCCGACAAGATTCAATGTTCGGAATTCTCGATCTGGTGTCATAAGCATTTTGACTGCGCTTATGCACTTTTTCTGATCCTTTTCTGTAGCCAGTAAGTTTTAGAGACCCTCTAGATATGGGAATATCTCCCGCAGGCAGCTGGTTTTTTAATACTCCTAAATGTAAAATGTTGATCGTCTTGTTCATAAAAATGCTATATTACAGTTTGAATTTGTTGAGACTTGAACTACGCATCTTTCAAAAATAAAAAAAAATTATCTTTTTTCCGCAACTTTCAAATCCTTATTAAAATGCTGGAACTATGACTAAAATCTCTATGTTTTCCAATCGATAGGTGACATACTATTAGCATTAGACTTCTCCACATTTTTAAGTATGCTAACTTCTACAACAGCTTCCTATACGTTCCAGATAGAATCTTTTCAGTATTTCAGAAATGCTTCTCTCTGAAATAAAAACAACTCTTTCCAGGAATCTCAACGAATTCTCATAAGAATCGTTACCAAGTTCTTTTTTTTTTGTTGCCTATGAAACTAGGAGAACCTTTCGCTCGTTTAGAGCATGTTAGAGAAAGACATTCTCGAACATTTTATCAAGTTTCTTCGAAGAAGAATTTATTATTCACAGATAACGATGGAAACGATTCTTTTTCTCGTTCATTATAGATATCCCCAATATTTCAGCTGATGCTCGATGGGCACAGAAAGGTGTGACCGTTGCTGGAGGTCACGGGAAAGGTGATGCCACAAATCAACTCTATTGGCCTCATGGTCTCTTCGTTGATGATGATCAAACTATTGTCATCGCTGACTACTGGAATCATCGTATCATCCAATGGAAGATGGGTGATACGAATGGAAAAGTGGTAGCTGGTGACAATGGCGCAGGAAGACGATTGGATCAATTGAATGGTCCAACCGATGTGCTGATTGACAAAGAGACTAATAGTCTCATTATCTGCGATCGAGACAATCGACGAGTCGTACGATGGTCTCGTCGCAGTGGCACAACTCAAGGAGAAATCCTCATCGACAATGTCGATCCTTTTGGACTGGCCATGGATGATCAGAGATATCTCTACATCTCTGACTACGAGAAACATGAAGTAGGACGATACCAAATAGGAGACAATAATGGAACTCTCGTGGCTGGTGGCAATGGAGAAGGTGCTGGTCTCAATCAACTCAACAATCCGCACTACATCTTTGTCGATCAACAACAAACTGTCTACGTGTCAGACAACGAGAATCATCGTGTGATGAAATGGAATAAAGGTGCAAAAGAAGGAATTATCGTCGCTGGAGGTCACGGCGAAGGGGATGCACTGACACAATTGTCGCATCCTAATGGACTGTTCGTCGATACGTTGGGTACCATCTATGTGGCAGACTTGCTTAATCATCGAGTGATGCGTTGGCCTAAAGGAGCGAAACAAGGCACTGTCATTGTGGGTGGAAATGGTTGGGGACAAGGAGCAAATCAGTTCAATGTTCCCATTGGTTTGTCCTTCGATCGACAAGGCGATCTCTATGTCGCTGATAGGAACAATAATCGTGTTCAACGATTTTCTATTGAATGAACTCAACACGATGGAGTTTTTTCTTTCCTTTCAAATAAATTCACGTTGAATTCATGAAAACAATGCTTATTCTATTCGCGCGCGCGCGATCAGGAACTACCCTGGTGTAGCCGTGGCGAGCGTAAGGCTCATGCACGCGTGGGAAGACGCACGTCATCCACATGCACCCATCCGATGTCATGTGTCAGTGAGTCAGGGGGCCCAGTCGTGTGCCACGGACACCAAAGCAGTTCCTGGCCGGGCTTTTAGGAACTACCCGGAAGTCCTTCATATAACGCGAATCTAACCTCAACGGACAGAACTCACCCTCTATTCTCATACTCAAAAAAAGAATAACTCACCCTGTTAACGATCACGTGATGCGATGATATTGATGACTAAAAGGAAAAGAAAAGAAATGAATTATTAAAAAAAATCATAGAAGAACTTGCGATCCTTCATATGATCAGGGTGGTCAGATGAAAAAATTGAAAATCAGAAAAAAAAATTCGAAAATCAGAAAATGATCAGAAAATTTCCCCATCAAAATCAGAAAAAAAATCAGAAAGCGGATTTGAATGCGGCAAGTAGTCAAATATGTTTCATTCACCATATAATTTATGCCCTGATCCTGTCTCTCTCTCTCTTGCTTAGTCATTATCATATTCAGGGATGTGGCGAAGAGAAAAAAGTGGAGGGGAGGGGGCGGGAAGGTGCTAGAGAAATTTTTTCAAAAGTTGAGGGTGTATTCAGAAAATTTTTCAACGTGAGAGGATGCGTTTACAAAATTTTAAAAGTGGGAGGGGGGGGGTGCAGAACCTTATTTTTCCATCTTACGATCTTTTTTTCAATAAAAATACAGATTTTTGCTGAGAAAAAAGCGAACATTTTATAAAAGTGGGGGAGGGGGGGGNCTCTAAACCCATTTTGTGATACCGACAATGAATGAATAGTGTTATCTAGTCACTGTCCTCAGAATGATACAACTGTTACATGGATTGTTTTCGTATACTTTTCTTTTCTTCATCTGCTGACTATTACTGTTGGTTGTTATTGTTTTATAGTTATTAATCTCTCTTTACTCTACTTTGTTACTACTATTTGTTATTGTATTTTCTGAGTACATGTTTTTTATTATTTTTATCACGAATAAATACTTTCAATATCTGAACAATTAACTAATATAGTGTGTTGATTATTGAGAATAGGAAAACAATATTTTTTTTTTTTTTAATATCTATTTTTTTATTGTGCCATAAGTAACTGGTTCACAGGTGAGATATAAAAGAAAGAGAAAGAACTAACATACGTGAAAAACGCCAAATAATGGGTGTGACACACTACACTACTATATAAAGTAAGAGGTACATTTAGAATAAGAGTAGATAAAAACACCATAAGGTAAAGAAAAGTAGTAACAGAAAATACAATAACAAATAGTAGTAACAAAGTAGAGTAAAGAGAGATTAATAACTATAAAACAATAACAACCAACAGTAATAGTCAGCAGATGAAGAAAAGAAAAGTATACGAAAACAATCCATGTAACAGTTGTATCATTCTGAGGACAGTGACTAGATAACACTATTCATTCATTGTCGGTATCACAAAATGGGTTTAGAGGTTAAATTAATGTATTGCTATATAATTAAAGTTCAATCATTTTATACTCAGATTCATATTATTTATTTATCTTATCTTAAATATTAGAAGTCCTAAGGTGGCAAAAGGAAATATTTATATATGAAGGAGTTTATCATATTCGTTGATTTTTTAAAGTATTCGTATTGTTTAACATGAAATACATCAAAATCTACCCATTCAATTAGGCAATGCTTCACTTGATTTATTAATCTATTTGGAAAGATACTATTTTTACGAAATCCCACTGACTTGAACCAACTATTATCCGGAGAGGTAATAATAAGAAATCCATTCCAGGTCTGCTGGAAGGAAAGTGCCTCAGGGGAGGTTAGCAGATGTACAACTAAACGACGCCAATATGTAAATAAATAATCACGTAGTGATTTATCTCTAGCAAGAATTAAAGTTGTTATATCATCCCACTGATATAGATTATATACAATTCGAAGTCCTTGACAAAACATATGTTCAATACGTTCTCTTTGTATATCAGTATAGAAGAACCAAGTGGAAAATAACCATAAGTAATGTGGAAGAGCATATGAAAGGAAAATTCTTCGGCGTATTTTGATATCTCGCATCTTAATCGTTTTAAATGCTATTTTCATACCGTTATAGATTTTTCTTATGGTACGCAGACGCTCATTAATGTATGTATCCCATCCTAATTTTGTGGAAATATATACTCCTAAATATTTAAATCTTTTAACATATTCGATGGTGTGTGATTTATAGTATAGACGGGGGTATGAAGGGGATACAATACTGTGGACAAGAAGGGCTTTTGTAAAAAAAAAAAAAAAAACGCCGTAACTCTTCTTCTATTTTGAAATGGATAATAATAAGACAGAAGAGTGAGTCATACGATATTTATTTATTCGTTATTCACACGACAATCATCGATAAGCTACAACACATAAGAGAGAAAAATATGTTTTCTCCTACTTGCTTCATTGTGTGTATACCTTTATTTTCGTCGACGATATAAAAAATAGCGTACTTTATTTCTTTTTTCTTATCCACACTGCACTAAACAAACGACTATTACATCAAGAGGTATCTTAGGTTGCCTTTTCGTTTGTATTAGCTTCATTTTTATTTTTACTTTCGTTGATAAACAAAACCAAAGCATACTCTTCTTCAGTAGATCAGATTCTCATCAGATACTGATTCTGCTTTACTAGCTCTGTTTTTGTCTATTTGCCCTAACTATTTGATATCGACGAAGAGTTTCTCTTACACAGAACAGTTCTTGCCGAAACATATCTAAACAGCATACCACTAATTATTTATTTTTTTAGTTTTATCTATCTTTCTCTTATTACGGATAACGAAAATATATTTGATATCGTGAATATATCCTAGTATTCATAAAGAAAACGATAATTTGATATGACAAGTGAAAGCACTGAATTACAGGTTCGACGTAGAAACTCTCGTCTAACAATTCTGGATTCTGACGATTCAAACGTACTTGGTCCTATCATCGGCTATGCTCAAGAACCACTTCTTCCACTTGCTGACGCATGCATTCCGTTGATTCCTATTATTTATAATATTTTAACGTATGCTTCGGTTGCTCTGGAACACGCTTCAAACAATCCATCCGATGGTTTAACTCGTGACGAATCGGCTTCAATTTGTCTTTATACAATGGAATGGAATGAGGCAGAAAGAAGCCTCTATTCAATTCTCAATGAAACGCTCAACACAGCTGATCGTGAAGTGTTACGGCCGTGGTTTAAATACTTAAAACTTTTTCTTTCTGCCATAGTCAAAATACGGTGTGAACCTAAGGGTTTTGTCTGGCGTGAAGTAAAAAGAACTGTTAGTCACAAATTTGTCGAGGAAACTCATGTGACATGGTGGGCTTTCTCATCCTGCACGGCAATGCCTGCTGTATTACAGAATAACCGCTACTTTGGTGATGAAGACCCGAGAACTCTCTTCTCCATCGAAGTGATTAACGCCAGAAACATACGGGCTCATTCATATTATCCCAACGAGGACGAAATTTTAATGCTGCCGGGGACATACATGAAAGTGCAATCAAAATTGAATCCAGCATCTGATTTTCACATCATTTATTTGAAGCAGATTGTACCGGACAATATGTTACTCGAACCTCCATTCAAAGGTATGTTCAACAACTGGACGACAATGAGAATAGAATGACTATCGTAAAAATGATTATCTGATAGTAATGATAGAGTTGAAATTGTAGAGCGTTCGGCTTCATTCAAAAGTTCTCGTCAACTCTATAAGATAGTAAACAGATATTTATTAGATTCACAGTTTATTCACACATTATATATGCGCCTATATGTGAGGCTTTTTATTGCATCATTATTAAATAGCTTGATTTTATACACGTTATACGGATGCTTTTATTCTCTAGAAGAACTATCCTTTAGCTGTGATGATTCTGGTCAGATATTTTCTATATCTGTATCATGTGATATATCCTCGTTTATCGCACATATGTCGTTTGATATAATGTTGTCTATACCTGGATTGCATGTTCTGCTCCGTTAATTCATAGTTTGAAAGGGAAATATTCGATAAACCTTTAGTCTGGATCATATGGATGGATAGCCACAAAAAGTTTTTCATTATATTATTATGAATCACGATTAATGCCGTATATATCCACGCGACCAGATGAAGTAATAATCTCAATAAAAGAAAAATACCAAAATTGGAACCGGTCGCCTAGTATTTATCGGCTCTCTTTCTCTTTGCGGACGCAGACGCATACGACGGTGTTTTTATTCACGTCCACATCCACAAAAAGAAGAAGAACTGGTAAAGACCAGTGGATCTGTTAGAATTGTGAAAAATACCTAAAAATGAAGGACATGTAGAGAATTCAGAAAGTTGCCCATTGAGAATATTGCATATCATCACACTATTTTGACAAAATGAGCTATTTTTTTTCCTGATGATTGAAGAGAGTCGTAAGCTTTTATCCTTCAGCAAAACCTTTTTTCTGGCATCGCTTAAAACTATTATCCTGTACTTCAAAAAAGAAAAAATACACATTCTACCAAAGATAAACGACATACGCTGGGTATCCTGAAGACCATTTCAATACGATGTGTTCTTAGGTTCTCTCAATATTTGAAACAATTTAGTTGCTATCTATGCTTTTTTACTATCCTATTTGACTTTTCCAAGGGTTCAAAAAATGCTCTCGAATGTTCTTATAAAGAAAATTTCCGACAAATCTGCGGGACTACAGTTAACTTTTGACCAGGTACCTATTTGAGCTGTCTACTACAAAAAAAACAAAAGTATCCAGAAACTATTTTGATGAATAACATTTTGTGAAGCTTTTTTAGCTGATGATTTTAGTATGCAATTTTCTGTTTTCATCG